TTCAGGTACACTCTTTCAGGTAAAAATAATCATTTTTTAAGTTGTTTTAAAAAATAAGTATTAAAATAACACTAAAGACAGTTTCATTGGTCTATGACCAATTAATTTAGATTTTACTTTGTCCGGTAATCTCATTAACTTCATGAACGCCTCATAAAGTCTCGTACATTTTCGACAATTTCAAAGCATTCTTAATATGAAATAGTCATTTTCTATTACTTATTTAATGACATAATAGGCATATAAAGAAATAAATTATTGCCATTTGCCATGGTCCCACCACACACCCGTTGGCACGGCAAATAAATATCATTTCGGGTAAAACCAAGCAATGATATCTACACAATCACTATCGCTATCTAAGGGTTATTTTTAAATTAAGATTATTTACTATACCTCCACATTACCAATCATGTTGTTGGAAAGAAATTAAGAACTTTTCCAAAAATATGGCGTCATGAGGACCTTGTCCGAATTATTATGGACAAGACCGAAATAGCTCAGTCAAGTGTTATATTGATAAATTAAAAGGTTTTGGGTTCGATTCCTATCGCCGCTTTTTTATTGAGAATGTAGTTGTTCTTAAATCTGAACTGGTGAGATCTCGAGTGGCCATAGAGATTGATGACCCACGAAGATTGACGGGCAACTGAGTGCTGCCAAATATTCTCAAAACATTTCTCGGTTTTGGGACTCTTCCATCTATTCAGGACTTACAGTAAGATAGAACAATAATGACTTGTCCTGTTAATTCGCCAAAGGCTCATGAGTCGACGACGAATTCAGGAGTGATGATCGCACTGATGATTCTCTTCGATAGACACAGGTGAATAAAAAGTATGGAACCAAACGTTTTTTGCTTAAACTATTTATTTTTTGAAAAAACTAATTGATGAGTGATAAAGTACTATAAAAATGTGATGATTTAACAAGAATAAAATTTTTCGAAATTTTCTTTTGTTTTTGAGTTCTACAAAAAAATTATTTTTTTTAAATGGCAATCCACTATAAAATCATTATTCTCATAAACGCTATACTCTAAGGATTACAACTATCTGCTTTATATTTAATTTAACAATTTAACAAAACAAAATTTCGTTCACATTTTTTATATTACTCTAATTTATATTAATTATTATTTTCTGGAGGCAAATGATCAAAAATAAAACCGCTTGGTTCCATACTTTATATTCACCCTGTATCTATAAACGGTATAAGCTGTCGTGAAAGAGGAGATGCTGTGAGAATAAATCGGATTGTAGTCGGAACGAAAACGGGATGTGTTTTGCACTTTTTTAATAACCCTGTAAATATTGCAATGTTGAAAACCGAGGGGTTTGAATAAGAATTTTGGCTTCTTTTCAGTCATTTCATTCATTGCGTTTTTGTGTCGTTTTACTAGGTTTTTAAAGTGCCTAATTGTACGGTCTAGAACTAATATTTTGCCTTGAAAAGCAATACTAAATATTGAAACTTCTGATTTTGCAGCAGTTCCATGTGGAACCGGTGAAATATTTAAACAAGACTGTTGATAAATTTTTTTATTTTACCAATTATTATCCTGGTCTACCAATAAAATGCCTTTTGACCTCTTTTTTCAATAATTTTAATAACTGTTAGGACTAATTTCCATGTTTTTTTATTAGATTTTTTAAAGTGTCCAACAAACATCCTGTTCCAGAAATAAAGGATTTTAGGTCTTTTTCGCTCATTTACTTTTGATAAAACAGCTAAATTTGTAGGATTCTGCCTTGTTTTTTAAGACGCCAAATATCTTTTTCCAGAAATAAAAAGCCATTTTGGGGTGTTTAAAAACAAGGCATTTTGTAAGTTTTTTAGATCTTTTTCGGTTGTTTACTTTTGGGAAAATAGCTAAATTTGTAGGATTCTACCCTGTTTTTTCGTGTGCCCAATTTTTGGTGGTCTACAGATATTTGGGTACTTTTGGGATGCATAAAAATTAATGCTTTTTTAAGGGTTTTAGGCCTTTCTCGGTTGTTAACTTTTAAGAAAACAGTTAAATTTGTAGATTCTAACTTGTCTTTTAAGACGCCAAATGCCCTGGTCCAGAAGTAACATTTTACATCCTGCTAACAACGATGCGATTAGCGGCTGACCAAGCCGGAATTATAAAGCGAAAGACAGAATTTGTTCCACGTTTAATGCAACAATAGATTTTATTAATTTCGCTGTCAAAACAGTTGCATTGCAATTTTCCAACAAACATTACGCGCCAACATTGTAAATAAGCTTGTGCCGGGTTTTCAAACATTAGGCTAACCCCGGATAACATTAACATGATCCGGTATGGAGCTTTATTTATCTGAATTTCGTACATTCAAAGTGCTACTCAACCAAACACAAATTTACCCGAAAATGTGCTTGCTAAGCCCAAAACCAAACAAGAGCGTCGTTCCATTTACAGGACTAACTAAAATATGCAGGAGCGCGTATAGAATTTCGCATACGGTCCTGTCACTGCAAGTTGATTGCCACATTACTGCAGCTTCCTGCCACAACTTTGCGACAAGTTGCTCTCGTCGAACTGTAAAATGGGAAGACTTACGCTTGATGTTAATCTCAAGGAACATAAGTGCAGTAAGTTTAAATGTTCGTGGGAAATTCGTTCACTGTCTACCTACTGGATCCGCCGATACACCACGATGCAGTTTACACAAGGATCAGGTGTCAATCGGACAGGTGCTTTCTCACATTGCACAATGTATAAATTTACACTGTCCTAACCAAAATACCCACAAAAAACATTTTGCAACGCCCAAAAAGGAGATTTACATATTTACTTCTTTTACATTTTTTTGCATGTAGGCACAGGGTATGTACATGTTTAAATAAACCGATAACCCAGTCGACAGGTGAATCATTCTCAGGAGTATACCCATGCTGTAAATTATCCAGCAACATTACGGGTAATTTTAGTTATTATTTAATTAGTGTCGGACCCGACTGTATACCTGTCTTTTGCAAAACCCTTTAAATATGAATAATTTGCAAAAGTGACACACGTGAATGCTGTTGCAGTTACTAATCAGTGAATGGGCAATCCGTAGGTAACAATGATTGAGTCTCTAGTCGCGTGTTGCGCTAATGTGGGCGGAAGGGAATCCGTAACGAGCAAGGATCGCAGGTGGAGTATCGATCAGGACAATGGCTCGCACTTCCGGTCAGCTGACAGACTACTGAGTAACCGCGTCCGGCGATAAAACGTAAAATATAAAAAATTCACGAGGAACTGTCGTAGTGATTTTCAAACAAAGAATCTCCAGGATGATGGCTTAAATTGATCTTTGATTATGAAGCCGATCAATGGCATAGTTGCAACTATTAGTCAAGTTTTCATTTTTTGTTTTGGTTTTTCCCAGAGACGGTGTATATTTCAGAATGTCGCTTTACACTTTTTCGCAATAATAATGGATCGTCACTAGGGGCCTCCTTTGGTGCAAAACAAACTGTGCGCCGTTAACTTTGGGGTTGATAATTGTGATTTATAAGCAACTGTCATTTGAGGGCTTGCGGCCTCAACAGCGCGGTTGCTTCATATTAATTTGTGATGGGACGGCACTAATTTACCTACTGCCAGAGACGCATAAGATCCTAAAGGAAAGCAAGAGCAAACCACTGTTCTGATTTGATTAATTGCAAGTACTCAAAATTTGATAATTACATTGGAGTTAATAAGAGAGTTTCGATCGATTTCGGTTATTTATTGCAGTTTCGGATCGGTAATTAGGAAAATGTGCGACCTTATACAACTTTAATGCCATTTTTAAGCGTCATTTTTTAATATCCATAAATTGCAATAAACGTTAATGGGCCATGCTGCATTCGCGCTTACAAAGCTTTTTAATTCTGAGGAATTTTTACTGTCCCGTCTAGAAAAGCTTTAAAAATATAAGAAGCTCTTTATAGTGACGTCAGTGCATTTTTTAAGGAAGGTTTAAACCTTCAACACACTCCATTTAGCGCTTTCACGGTTGCTTCGTTGAAATATAAAAAGCGTCCATTGTTTTCAATAATAAATATCAAAAAATAATCACAAGTTTGTAACATTTTATAGAAGTATCAAAATTTAGATAACTCGACGATGAAGTATAAAATGCAACGAAAACCCATAAAAACATGCCTCGAGCAATATGCAATCTTAGTGCTAATGTTATGAATATTGTAAGATTGCAGCTCCTAGGCGAAGCTTAATAGCTTAATATGAAAACTTCAGCATAAACAGAGGAAGTCTTTACGCTTCCTGCACACCTTTTAAATTTGTTTTTTTATACCTTACGAAAGTAACCTACTAAAACTATCATAAATAAATTTGAAAATTAAACAGTCTTGGCCCACAGAATAAAAAAAGGAATTTAAATAGTTTTCATTTCACCCTTTAAACTGTTCAAATTTAATTAAGAATATATCAAGCTGTCTGGAACTATAAACGAACATTCAGACTTTATTTCACCTATTTTTGCTAAAATGCTAGTCTTTAAAAGCGTTGTGGCTAGAACTAAAATGCAAACGACTTCATGAAATGCATGATTATAAAACATTTGGTTATTTTTTTAACGAATCACAACTAATAATAATAATGTATGCAACATTTAAAATAGTGATAAATTCTGACAATCATAGGTTCAAATAAAATAAAACTGCATTATTTTTATTACACTAGTCATAAAAGTACCCATGAAACGTTAGAGATAACTGTCGGCTTGCATGCAAACCTAAAAATTTACAACACAGCTAAAAACATAGTGGCAAATGACTATAAAAATTATGTTTCTGTGTAAATAGGTATAAAAGCCAGTCTTATAAGGGTCTCTGTGTATTTTGTGTTGCCTAGTTTATAATCTGTAACGTTTATGTAATTTTTTGAATGATAAACTAGCAGTATTCTTGTTTTACGGGATCATAAAATGTAGTGGCTATAGCGATATTTCTGTGTGTATTTTATAGGATCGTTAAATCAAACGGTGGCAGTCCGGTAACCACCACCCAATACTCACTTTGATTATGATTCGTTTGCAGATGTGAAAAAAACTGCGGTTTCAGCTGTTGAAACTCTAAACCTCGAAATAAAAGTTGACTGTTTGCGTGATAATTAATTGATTAATTCGGAATTGTTACCAGGACCACCAGGTAAGAAAAATATTACATTACTCACGGTATTGCTTACATTCAAGCCACGATTGCGGCTATAAGTAGAAATAATTCTCTATAATTATAGCAACGGTTCTACCATATTTGCCCTTATCTCGACTAATAAATTACCAATTAACCTCTTTGACTCGTTGTGTTTTATCGTAATTAAAGAAAATGAATTTATTTCAGGAATAGGAAGCACCAAATTTTAATTAGAATTCGGCACGTGTTTCGGCTGCAGAGTCAACAGGATAGGTAAGTGTTTATAACGCATTCAATAATGATATAACGTTTTGCTCCTTTTTCACCTTCCCCTCAAGACGCAGTCTCGACTCTCTAATTTAAGTTCTTTTTAATAGAATTTGCGCCTTAAATTCTAATCACCTAAAGGTGCAAATTAACAATGTGCAGTCTTTCAACGTAAACATGTTTTTTGCACCGTTATTATCTAGCATCTTCATTAATTAATTGGTAACGTGATCTCGACAAGTTCGAGATTTTCGATGTTATAGGTGAGACTAAGATTAGAAGTTTTTTCTCATTATGATGAAAATATCGTGGTTAAAGACACCTATAATATCCTGCATAAGAGTATTATTTATGTGCGTTTTATGTCATTTATTTCCCAGCTCGATAATTATGTTCGCCGATTCGAACCTTCCTTAACGCAGTAATTGACAGTCAGTAAGTAGAAAAAGGCTTCGACTTAACAGCTGCAGCCGTTCCTTGTCCAGTCTCAATTAAAAACGGCCATTTGCTCACACCGAAATTAAAAAGAACATGTTTACATGAAGGCAATTATTTCTTAATACTAGCAAAAGCGTTTAATTATAATTAATGTGAAATGTTACTCTTAAAATGATATATTGGAAGGCGTTCCCGCTCGCAAATTTATTCTAAATTATGTGAATAATGAATAAACAGACCAACTTATTAAAAATGGCCTCTAGTTTTGTTTAGCTGATCAATCTAGTTTTGCAATGCAAATTGGCTGTGAAAATCTTTTAAAAGTTCATCCAGTTTATTTCCAACGTCATATACACATTTATATAATCGTAACTTTTGAATGTTATCTGATGTGATGTTTTCTAGCTACTGGTGTTGAGAAACACAATGTTGGAACACTTTCCAGGTTTTAACTCATTTTATTGCTAGATTAGTTAAAAATTGCCGATAAATAATTGTAATAAAATCTCCATATGAGGCAAATCATTTTGTTTCCAGCCATTGACGTTCGTGCCAAAAAATAATATCCCATTTAATTAGTCGTGAGTTTATGCAAAATGTCATCGGGCGGGAGTGTCAGGAAGTGATACCAGTTTTAAGAAACTAATTCTGTCGCGTATTTAAATTAACGCTCATGTTTCAGGCTGACGTTTACCCTCTTCAAGCTCGACTACTACAACCCAAATCGTTCCAACCAGCAAGGGACCGATAAACCAACATTAATTCCTTATAAACGAAGAACTTTGAATAAGATAATAGCCGACCATAACTCTCGCGAATTTCCTAAAAATAAATTACCTCCCTATTAACCCAACAATCACTAATGTTGTCACGCACATACGTTTACCTCCAGACACTCGTTATTGCCCTATCTGCAATCGAATTTGAGCCGTTTTGCGGCCGAGCGATACCGATCTCGTCGACATTGCAAAAACTTTCCGTAATAGGTCTTTGTAAAAAGGAAAGATTGCTTTAAATATAACGCAGTCTCGACTGGTTAACGTCGGTAAATCAACAGTAGCTCGAGTTATGTTTGGCGGACATGCGACCGGAGCGCTGCATGCAAGATATCCCGGAGAAATAAACCCACTTCGACAGTTTCGCTCGCAACTATGTTCCCTTACGACAAATTATCCGATTCAGGGTCACGGATCAAGATGAATGGATTTTAAATAAATTCATTTGCAGGCATCCCGCAACGACCTACCTCGAGACCGATACTTTTAATGTAATTAACGAGCTTTGCGTGCGGACAGTACGCGACGGGAGATTATTTACAAAATCGGCAAACACACTATTGCAAAAATTTGTTTTATTTAAGAAAAATAAAATATCTACTCTTACAAAGTTTCTCCTTCTGATCATATCACAACAGCTGTTGATAAGTACTCGATTCATCATTTCATTTTACGAATTATGGCAAAAATAATGAAAATTTATAATGATTGATTATTTCATTTCCAAAATTTGATTATAAAGTTGGATAATGGAGACGAGCTTATTCTAAATTCTATAAATATAGCAAAGAAATAGGTTTGCATGATTTGGGTTAATGGTTTCAATAATAAATTGGCAGATTTCTTCAAACTTGTTGAAAGTTTGAGTGGATTTATTGATTACAAATACTTGTTATACTTGAAAATTAATGACTTCCTGATTGTGCCCCCAAAAATATCTTTTACATTTTGTGGATCATTACTGCAATGCGTTTCTAAAGTAATAATAAACTATTGATTTTTTGTTATTAGTATTTTTTTTACTGCAATAAGTACTTTAAATGTTACTTAATTCTAATTATTTATCATTACCATGCATGTATAGGTAAATTTTGTGAAAATGCTTTTTCGTTTAGTATAATTTTTGATATGGCACGTCCATCGATTTATCACTTTGAAAGTGAAATTTAATTACATAAATTTTTTATCTTGTAAATACATAATTCAATTTGATACAACTTTTCTACCGGGAGTGTTAATTTTAATCACAAAATGTAATTTTACGAATAAAAATGACAAACACCTTGGGCTTACAAAATGTAATTTTACGAATAAAAATGACAAACACCTTGGGCTGATAGCATCTTGTATTTGATAAGTCACGGTTTCCATTAATTTCGTATACACGGTAAATGCGGTAGCGCTGTTAGAAAATTTTCTTAATTTATTTTCATTACCTTGATTTTTTCATCATTTTGTCCCATTTTTCCTTATTTACGATTATCATTCTGCCTGAAAGCCGGGCAAAACTTAACAAACATCTTATTGTTTAAGTTATTTACGCGTAAAAGAAGAATTAAGCGGAGATGGTTTTTGTTACATATTTCTTCGTCATTCCATCCCTACGCAGTAGTTCTCAGATAAGCAAATAAAGTGAGTGCAACCCCTGGCATAACGTAATAATTAATAACTTGAAATATAGTGTCATTAACACCCTGGCCATGTGTTTGCTGACACGACCACGGGCGTTATGCAGGCAAGAGGGGGCAGGTAAACATTATGAAGATTAATGGTAGAAATATGGAATCTAAAGCAGCAAATGGTATCTTATTTCGTTTTTAATTTTTCACACTTTTGATGTATGAGCTTCTTGCGACATCATAAATGGCTGCAATTTAAATAATAAAGCTCTCCAGTTCGTATCAGCAGGATTTGTATAATTCACTTTAAGTTTCTTTGGAAATTTAATAAAGTTGAATCAACAGGCGTAATCTTAATTAAATTACACATCAATGTCACCCAAATTGTGCCCGAAACAGCAAATAACTCACTCAAGGAAATGTCATTCGAAATACGTCTCCGAGTCGCTGTTATAAATGCATGTGAGTTTTTGTGGCATTCACTCGGACAAACAATGATAATAGGAAAGTTATGCGACCGACCGGGCATAAATCTCGTGGCGTTCGTGAGTGTTATTGCTAGGAGTCACGCGAGTCCTTTTAGTATGGCTTCCAACCCCTTTCCAGGAGGTGCAGGACTGCAGAATATACGCGAACGAAGAGTTAACCGAGTGAGCCGCTTGGGATTAAATTGATGGCGGACGTTCGACAGCTCGCTTCTCAAGAAGTCAGCAATATGAAAGACGTCATAAATCCGATCACACGACTAAAACAATGTTGGGTCGCTCACATCACCAGTCACGGTATCTTATAGGAAAACATAAAAATGATGTGTGAGGGTGCTACCCACTTCCTTCGCTTTTTCGTGACCGATAATAGTGATTTTCATGAGCAAAGGTTAAGGACTAGCTAGTGTAATATGCTTCAAAGCTAATGACATCCTGAAAGCTCATTCGATACCAGCTAATAAAGAGCTTTTAAGACTCTTATGTCAAAGCTTTTTCTACCTTTTGTAACATCACACAATGTGTGTGATTTTTTGAAGAAATAATAATTACAAAATGCTACAAAAACGTAAATGTTTTTTTTAATACATTTGAAAATAATTTCAAGCGATGCATTAGATTAGTGTCTATTAATTTTCGCAATTTTTTTATTTTAACATTTTAAGATCAATAATAAACTTTACCAATTTGAGGGGACACCCTGTATAATGGAGTCTCAAACTAAAGTTGTTAAAATATCTATAACTTAATCAATGTCCTCACGTGATGGTTATTAACGAAAACCTGTAATCAAAGTCACAATGTCACAATTTTTAAAATGTTACGTTGAAATTTAGTTGAAATGAAAGTTTAAAAAATCTAAAGTCAGTGTTTTTTACCCAATTCGACATTAGTACATACAGTGGTAGACAATAAAATCGCGTACACAGCAAAAATTAAGTAACACATTTTTCTACCTTTTGCAATGTGTAAATTAGTTTTTTTGAAGTTTCAAGCTATTTTTAGAAAAGAGGTTATACCTACTCCCTTTTTGTTTCTATCCCTTCTTCACTCTTAAAATTGTGTTTTTTTTTTAATTCTACTAGTCTGTGTCTGTACAGGCACGGAACTAAGCCTTCATATTTGGGTTGGCCACGATAGGTCCAAAGTTTTTTAAGGTGGGCTAAGTAAAACCCATATGTTTTGGTAAAACCGGATAACAATAGGCCCCATGTTTTGAAAACCAACAAAAATGTCTTAAAAAACTTAATATTAGTGAAAATGATACTTCCGTATAAAACTATGTTACACTATTTTTGTTCTGCCACTTTTTGAAGTCGTCGTATTCTCGTTCGTAACTTGAAACTGATTTTGCAGGTAATAAACTTGGAGCTATACTCTTGGCTTCCTCAATAATTTCTTTTGGCACATTCATTTTCGCTTTCGCCAAGTATTCATCTATGGCCAAAACAAATAAAAAAAATAACAAACATACATGTTCATGGTAACGATTCCATAGCTTACGACATTTACGACAAATTATTAAGAATTTTTTTGTAATCAAAATTTAAATTTGTCTAACTTTTTTACAAATGAGAAACAAAGAAAATATAAAACAATACACGCAAGGTAACGGGTTTTACTGTCTCAAGGAAGTAACTGACTCGCCTGCGGCTCGTCAGTTATATCCTCCATTCGCCAGTAAAAACCCTCTTACCTTGCTAGTAATGTTCCATGTTCTTGGTATCTTATCTTACTTGAAATTTTTCTCTGGGGCGCGAGTTTTGCGCACCCTGTATAATATGTCAAGTTGTCAAGACATGACTTTCTTGTCGCCCTGTGTAAGAGGTGTTGGATGTGGATGATTCTATTAAGTATGGGGAGGCTTGAGTTTCGGAGCGTTTGCGTCTGTAAAAATAGGTCATTTTGGTTTTATAAAAAGTTACAAAGAAAAATCTGCGGCATGAAACCTAGTAGTTTATTGCTTTATCCCTTCATAGGATCAGCAGGAGCGTAAAATATGGGCAACAAAGAAGCCGAGACCGATCCCATTCATGCGGAGCATACGTTTCAGAATCAATAGCCAGCAGCTAGCTGAGTGAATTTCTGTGTCCTTATCCACGCAGTCATGTTGATAATTCACACCCGTCGAAACGAAATTAGTTGAAATTAATAAACAGAATTAATTTGGTCGATTGGAGGACGTTCTTGTCGCGTCGCGTGTTTCCAAAAGGCGGCGCTCCACGCCAATTCCTAAATTATGATGGATGAATGCATCGCTGTTTGCTTATTAGCGTGTATCGAATTCTCCATCCTAACAAATCTTATATAGGTCAGTGGCGATTAGTCGATATTTAATTCGCACTACGAACAACGATACGAAATCAATAAAAGGAACGCCCACAACGCTTTAATTTATTAATCACACAACTACCAATTGAAATTATCGAAAATCAAACATCTCATAAGTTTGCTTTACAGCGCGTTGTATGCTACACACAAGATGCTATCGATATTACACAGAATAAACAACGACTTTATTATTTTGTTTGTGCACTCTTATCTTCAAGTGCCGGACTGCAAATTATGATTATTATTATTGCGCTGATTGGAAAAGTGATTTCTGCATCGAATCAAGCGATTGAAATATTGAAACAACCGCAAGTTCTCAAAATAAATAATTTATGTCTGTCTTCAAGTGAAATCCATTACGGAGTGTACAAGTCAAAATTTTTCTCCATTAAATGTCTCGCATTGTGATTGTAATTTTCGATGTTATCAGAAATCTCGGCTCGCGTTTAGCATAATGTGGTGTGTTTCTGAGGGCACAAGTGCATTAACTGTTGTAACATTGTTGCTATTGTGTGGTCGACTTTTGACTGGCAGGCAGCTCCAGTCTTAAAAGAATCCCCGTCAGATATACGCTTCGAGGAACTCCGGTCAAAATAAGTGAGAGATGAGCAAATCTCTTCAACTGTCAGATTTTAAGATATTCCCCGAAAATGTTTACACTGATCCTCGT